CCTTAACAGCAACCCAGGAGATTGGACGCAAATTCCCGAGTTGAAGTGCGGAGCTGCATCGCATCAAAGGGTGGCGGGATTTTTGCGGCCTCGGGCTTCAGCCTGGAGAGTGAAGGGCACTTGAAGTTCACAGACTGCTGGGCGGAGGATGGTGGGGCCTTCTTTGGTCAAGGCTTTGCCAAGCTGAGTGGGAATATCTCAGTTCTGAATAGCAGCAGCAGATTCGGCGGCGCTTGCAGCCTGCAGAGCGGAGGCCAGGGCAGAAATACTTGTCGGTTGCTGTACTGCATATGTGATCCCGAAAATGGAGGCCCCCAAATTGACCCCATAGTTCTGTGGATTCTTTGGCGGAATCTAGCTTTTGGATCCTGATTTTGTCAACATCCAGATCTTATCGCCTAGGAAGTGACGCCAAAGCAACTCTTGGGATTTATAGTGGCAGCGGTCACAACTACCCTGAACCTCCAAAGTAGGGCTGCTGGTGAAGGACACTTCGAGGGGCCTGGCATCCTGTTTCACAAGCTCAGCGAATCGACCCTGCCCATCATCGGCGCAGCCGCAATTACATCCTCCAGCTCAACAAAGGTGACGATCAAGGCACTTGTGAGTGGATGGCTAGCCCCCTCCCTCTTTTGGGAGTGTACGTTTCTGAATCCCTTACCCATGGTACTATGAAAATCGATGGTTGAGATTTCCGCGTTAGCTAGGCTGCTGCTTCCGAACATGAAACCAAGCTGAACCACGGGGAAGTCTCAGGAGATGAATTGTTGACCCGCCCTCATGTTTTTTCTGTACTGAACATTGCCTTTGCTGTTGGCGTAGGACGTGTCGTTCGGCGAGCACGCAAGCCTGAAGCGTTTGACTGTCGAGACAGAAGGCCCGCTGGATGTTGAGAGTATACGCTTGATTTCAGATGGTCAGCCATACCACTTCCGGGCAAACCTGCAGAAGTCCGTGGTGCCAGCCAAAAAGGTGGAGGTCAGGAGTAGCAAAAGGTTGTGGCTCAAGCCCAAGACCAGGAAACATGATGTGGCAGAGCTGAAGACTTTTGAAGCAAAAGGTGAAATGGTGAAGGTTAGGAATGTGAACTGCGATGCTGTGGCATTTTGCATCTTCGAAGCAACCTCCATGGGCATGGTGGATGGGGACGTTCCTTGCAGGCGGGGCATGGGCAAGCCATCTACTGGGCAGCACACCACAGGGTGTCGCCCTTGCGCGGCAGGTCGCGTGCGGCTGCAGGATGGAGTTCCTCAACATGACCCTCTGGGGCTTAGGGTTTAGGGCAGAAATGTTGAAGAACTGGGACCCCTACCGCATGTAGATAATGCTACTACTAAAAGTAAAAGCTATACCTTCAATAAGAATCTTCCAGGATGGAGTTGCTGGTGAATGTCATGAGTGTCCCAACAACGTTATGGCCTGCCATCCTGGCAACATGACAGTGGGCAGAGGCTTCCTGCCAACGGAGACCGCCACGGTCCTCACCTGTCCCAATCGCGATTCGTGCAGGGGAGGCACTCTACCATCCAACGTGACATCTATGTGCGAAGAAGGGTACGTGGGAGAAGCAGCCGGCTGTACGGAGTGTGATGCGGGTTATGGCATGTCGGATGCCAGCGTCCTGCTCTGCGTGAAGTGCGCGGAGTCTCCTTGGGTCACAGCTCTCCAGGTGTGTTTCTGGCTGGGGAAGAACATTCTGATCTTCGGGCTCGCTGCCAAGAGCGTGCTGGGTGCTTCCCAGGAGGCTAAGTCCAGCAGCATTTTCCTAAATCAGTTGCTGAGCTTTGCCACCGTGGCAGGCACCATAGTGTCAGCCATGTTGCAGACACCGGCCGGCGAAGACTTGCGCAATGGAGTCACCGGCGTACTGTTGCAGGCCTTGGGCATAGTCATGGACGTTGGCTCCGGCCAGTCAGCAAGCACAGGACAATCCACGCAATGTTTGCTTGAGTATTTTGGCTTGCAGCCGAGCCTCTGGAAAGGCCAGGTGGCTTTTGCAGCCATGGCAGCAACACTCACAACCGCCTTGGGGGTGGCCAAGGGCTGGCATGTGGCGATTCTTGTTGGTATCAATTGCTTTTTCCCTTCCTTTCTGGGTCACTTCGGACGTCAACTGGTGTGCTTCCGTCTCGGAGAGCGTGAGGACCTCTACTGCCCACATGCGCCAGGCATGGGCTTCGCCTGGGTCGTTGCCGCCATGACGCTCTCCACGGCTGTGATCTTGGTGGCCTGGTGGAGGCTCTACAACCACAGCAAGCACAGCAAGAGCGGCGAGAGCGGCGAGAGCGGCGAGAGCGTGGAGCCGCTCCCGGTGCACGTGGTCTTCCTGACGGCACCCTATGACAAGGCTTTTGCGGCCTGGGAAACTGAGAGGCTGCTCAGGAAGAGCACCTTCACGCTGCTCGCCGCCGTGCTCCCCGTCACCGCCTCCCCCGCGCTGCAGATGTCATCCCTGGGCCTGGTGCTCTTGGCGTCCCTGGTTTTGAACGGCATGCTCCTTCCGTACACAGAGCGGAGGCAGGGACTGATCGTGCGCTGCCCTTTTGGGCTTTAGACTGTGCAGGTACTGGTGGACATGTTTGCTGCAATCGTATGTAATGGATGTGTACCTCCGCACCTTTGTAAGGACATGCAGCTTGGCTGCGCGTGCATTTTTTGCCCCCTGGTTATAGTTCTCTGAATATAGGGCCTGCCCTGCAAGAGTCTCTTCTGAAGCCTGAAGCAGCATACGTTAGTTGGGGAGCCGCATTTTGGAGGACAGGGCTGTGCCTTTTGGTTTGGGCCCCTGAGGTGGAATCTGGTGGAGGCTGGGCAGTTGGCAACATGCCTCGTCCTGATCTTTGCTGTTGCAGGACTGCTTGCTAGTGATCCGCACTGGGGACAGAGTAGGACCATCCAGGTGACTGGGTTGCTGATAATGAACTTAATTGAAGTTACTATATTGGGGAAAACCTATCACTCGCTATATATATATATATGTATATACACATACACCCATTATGGTAACTTAATTTAGCTCCTTACAGCAACCCAGGTGATCGTCATCATGTTCACAACCTCCCTGGCTGCTGGGATCTGCTCAGCACTGGCCGGCCTGACCGTCCGTGCTTTCGTGCTGGAGCACATCGCCAAAGCTGCGATGCCTGCCAAGAACCGCTCCGCGGATTAAGGATGTAGGTTTAGTTGCACTGCAGCCATGCCAATCACGGACCATGGAGAAGCCCAAACGGTCATCTTGTGCATACATTGCAACATGCCCAAGTTGTGGGAAAAAATGCCTTCCCTGATGTGTAGCTGCAACCAGTGAGAGATCTACGTTTCTGTCTTGCGCCGTCAGTTTTCTGTTGAGCTGACTCGGTGCTTGATATGAGTTTGAGACACTTTGAGATGATGACTGCACTCACGGTTTGTTCTATCTACGCCAGGGTTTCTGTGCAGGTCTCGAGTCTAGCAGTTTGTTGCCACCTGCATGCAGACTGAAGGCATCCATCAGCAACGGTGGCTAGAATTTGCGCAGGCAGAACGATCTAATCTAGCTGAACCTTCCGACCGTCGCGAAGGTCGGAAGAGCACTGACGGCGCCCAAGGCAAGTTTGACCTTTAGGGAGACCTGCTATGCTCCTTCTGTTCCAATGCCCCCAAGGACTGGTGTTTTACTTGTTTAAGTACATACCTCTTCTGGGCTTAATCGGTGTTCAGAGTGAGCCTCACATGTGCTTCTTGCAGAACGGCAATTCTGCCATACACTCTCGGTGCCGAAGCACCTGAAGTCCCAACAACATCTCCTCTTACCAAATGGTCAGTATTTCGTGACGAGAGGGGTGGTTTTCTAAGCTTGGAATAGTGGGCTCCGAGCTCATGAAATTCTTGCTCCTTGCCAGTGACGCGTTATGCTGCATGCCGTGACCCGTGCTACTTGTGAAGAGGAGTGGCTCGAACGCCATGCCAGGGCCTGTATCTGCGAGTAGTGCAGTGAGTTGCAACCGCCGTAGACATGTTGCTTGCGCACGGCATGCTTTTTGCTATTTTCTGGGTGCTTGCTGCTGGCAAGCAGCCGTCGAAGCAGTCCAGCTTGGCTGTGGAGGTTGGTGATGCTGGTGAGAGGAAATCTCAGGAGAGTTAGAAACCAACGAAAAATGTGAAGGGTTAGGCGAGGCCTCCATGGTACGTAATCTAGATTGCCGTATGCTCCAAGGTACATCATCTAGATACGAGTATGACATGAGGGGACTCCAGGCTCATTTCAACCCCATACCAACTCCCAATCCACACACCATTTCCTCTCCAATGCACTCATCTTGAGCCAACGTTGTTGGCATAGTCTTATGGTTAAGACGCAACCATCACGTGCGTGCGAAACATCCTTGCAGGGGCCATGCTAATCTTCTCAAGTACCAACACTCCTCCTCTTCGGAGTTGGCTGGCCAGGCTTCGAAGTCATCATGGCATGCCCCTGTATCAAAACTTTACATACAACACCAGTGCCATCTAGCTACAACCACCCAAGAGGATGAACACAACTTGCGTGGGCACATGCCTCTTGCGGTGGGCCCCGACCACCTTGCCTCCTGTGGCCTTTCTTCTTTCGAGGCTAGAGGTTTCTTTAGTCCCAGTGGACACGAGTGGTTTGGCACTTCCGATGTTGCATCACACTACCCACATGAAAAACTGGCCCCGTACTAATCAGTGGACATTCCAAAGGCCATTTCTGAACCTACATTCAGCTGCAACCGAAAAAAATAGGTCTCGTGCAAACAAGCTTGCTACCGGTGACTATGTCACGGCTCCAAAAGACTACACTCGAACGTCTGTACAACTTCGCACACAGAAATTGAGTGTATTCCGGCCCCAAGTAATCCCCAGCACCACAGTTGATGGACGCATTGATTACATGGTTGGTACGTAGTGCAAACGTGTCAAATCTCTTCCTCATCGAAATCGTTTCATCCAAGGTTTCTCATCGCAACCTCATCAGTTCACGCATGTACTGCAGCCTGGTCCTGGCCAACACCTTGGTCAGCGCGTCTGCGACCAGTGTCTCCCCGGCCTCGTGTCGGATGGTGACGGGCTGCGTTGCAATCTGGTCCCTGATCCAGCTCGCCCTCAAAGCAAAATGCCGTGTACGCCATGTGACCCGATTGAAAGTCGGTCCTGCAATCAAGGTCACAGCACTCGAGTTGTCACACACCATCTCTATGGAATGCTTCAAACCTGTGAGCTGGTCCACAACGTTCTTCAAGTGTAAAGCGTCCTGCAATCCCGTCGCAGCGCCTCAGACTCTCCTTCACACACCGGCCAGGCCGTAAGCTCCTGGCGCACGGATCGCCACGACACAATGTCCACTCCAATCTTCAGCACGACGCCTGTGCGCGAGCGACTTCCTTGTGCCGCAAAACTGCAATCGCTGTACGAGGTGATAACCGTCGATCTGGAACCCACGTACTGAAGAGACAACCAAAGCGTCTTGCGCGCGTACTTCCAAACTGCTTTGAGCTTCTGCAGCACATACGCCGGACAGATCACGCAAAGACACGCACACATTGACACCAGCGCCTGAATGTCCGGCCTTGCACGCATCGCCGCCCACATCAAGCTTCCAATGTCACTCTGGCACGCGCGCAGCTGCTCCTTATACAGTTCGTTCTTCTCTGCGGGCTCCTGAGGTGCATCGTCCAAGCTAGGCAAAGACGGAGAGCCGCTGACTTGTGACAGCCCACGTCTCTGCAGCTCTTGCGCCAACCACTTGTGTTGATCCAGCTGAACCCCATCATTATTCAAGGTTATTCTCAGCCCGCGAAACACAAACTCATCCACGCGTGGAATGCTCATGCTGCCTCTTTCGATCTTTTGCGGCGCGTTCCAACTCATGAATCCTTACACCGTGGCCGACCAGATCTCAAGAACATACTCCAGGACGCGCGTCATAGCCTCGCAGTCGCCTATGGTCAGTCCGTCGTCCACGAACATGGTCGTAAACCCCAACAACTTGCCCTCAGCCACAGTCACAACACTCCACAGTCCAGGAATATCAGCGTGTGGCCTCAAAACCAGATCGCCGTGCTTGTCCTTGTCTCTGGCCTTTAGGACCTTGTTGTTCAGCTTTGTGCCACGCTCCTCTTCCCAGTCTCTGGGAGCTCGCTTCAACCCATACAAGGATTTGTCCGGAATCAGCAACGTCTCGGAATCAAAGTACCCCAGCTTCACCAAAATTCCCGGAGGCTTCATTGTAATCTTGTGACCCTTCGGTAACCAGGAATTCAGGAAAGCCGCCGAAATATCAAAAACAAAACCCGCCCAGTCGCGATTTCCAGCCCACATGTGGATCAGGAACCGAAGCGTATCCGCGTCCACGTTCTGACTCGAGAGATCAGTTCCAGGGCTTTGCTCAAAGTTGCCACAAGCCACGATGCGGCATTTCGCCTTGAATGCCGCAAGTTCGGCCAGCTCTGCAAGTCCCTGAGCAGACATCCCAGTTAGGTCGTTGTCCGATACTCCGGGAGGAATTTGATCCTTGACGGCTGGATCCTGCGTGACATTCCCCCCTTCCAACATAGGCTTCCGCGTCAACACAAGCTTCATCGGCAGCGGCGGCGGAATGTATGCATCCTCCTTCACACCAAGCATCCGGCGTGCCTCAGACTTATGGCATGCTCTCCAGACAGACTTGGTCTCCATGTTGCTCAGCTCTCCTTCCACAGCGCCAATCCACTTCTTTTGGGCAACCTCGCTGCCCGAGCTCAGCACGTCATTTCCCACAGTCTCAACGGTCAACTGTCTTTCCGCCAGAATGGCCGCGAGCTTCTTGCTGTCCTCCACCGCTTGTTCCTCGCCAGCCGACAAGGCCACGCACTTGTGATCCATCGCCGCAGCACATGCTTTGGCTGTGGCTGCGTGTGCTGCTGGATCCGGCGCTGCTTCAGTCTCGGATGGCAAGAGAAAACCATGATTGAAGTCCTTAAAGTTCATGCTTCGCCATAGCCCTGGCAACACGGATCCTTCCATCCGAAGATTTCCAGTGTCTGGACAGCACCTTTCTCAGGACAGCGAAATCTTTCCACGTGATATATGGCAGCCCATTTCTGACTCGGCAGTCCACCTTCCTCAGAAACCCCTGGTCAGGAAACGTCAACGTCGCTCCTTGATTTGTCCAGTGAAAGGCTCCCCCAACTTCGATGACGCGCGTCGCGCCAAGAATCCAATCTCCACTAGACTCTTGATCGCCGCTCTCCGCTGCCGAGGAACCAGACCGAAGAACGACCTCGCCGTCTCGCGTTCTGAAACCGCCAACAACTTCCCCAGAGGCCAACGCAATACGCGTGGCAATTGTTCCCTTTTTGCTTATGTCTCTTCTGTACGGTCGAACCACTTCGTTCGCTCCAGAATCAACGAGCACTAGAGCATCGGTGTGTGGCCCTTTGGTGCCCGATGTGATTGCCATGCTTGCTGCAGCATAGTCTCCAGACGATCCTTGGCTCGATGGTGTATCGGCATCCCAAACGGTTGCCCTCACGCTCTCTGTGTTCTGACCTGCCTGAGTTGCTGATGCCATGCTCGGATTCTGATCTGTTTGGACTGATGCTGTGCCCGGATTCTGATCTGTTTGGACTGATGCTGTGCCCGGATTCTGATTTGTTTGGACTGCTGCTGCGCCAGGATTCTGATCTGCCTGTTCAGCACTTGACCGTGGCACGCTCGGTGGCATTGGAACTGTCGGAGCCCTTGCCGGTGGAAACCCGTCAGGATCTGGATTACCAAATCGCTCAGCGTAACCGCGTGACCCAAACACCATCTCCTCCTGAGCAAGAATTCCTCTCAGATCAGCCGCCGCTTCACGTAGCGGTCTCATAATGCCCAATGGCGCTTGAAATTGTCTCCAGGGACGAACTCGCGGAGATACCTGATGGTTCGCGAGAGCCAACATTTGCTCCCTGCCAGTGTCCGAGTCCAGAATATGCGCCAGAACCACAGGTCGGATAATGTTATCGGCATGCTCGCAAAGCACTTCTCGGGCACTGACCACAAATTGTCCCGGACCAATCTGTTCACCCTGTATGGGAAAATCAAAGTTCAAATCTTGGAACAGAAACCACAATCCACGAGCCACATCATTTGGTCGCGTTGACTCCTCAAACTCCCGAGCCGCTCTGCAGATCACTTGCCTTGGCCTCGACCAGTAAACAAATTCAGCCGGCGTAAGCACCAAATACCAAAGTCGGGGCGCAACGATTGGACGCCGTGGCCGTTCCATCTCCTCCTCACTGGATGGTTCCTCAGGTGTTCCCAAGCTCGAGGTTGGCGCATCGGAACCAGGCTCAGAACGGCCCATGTTCGACAGCTCCGACCCTGACTCCTCTGCATCCATACCGCGTGCCGATTTCACCATCGGTATGGCAGAGGCTGCCACGGCTCCCGATCCAACTAAAGCCATCTTTGCCTCAGATGTGGCTGCTGCTGCATTTGCTTTGGCCTTAGCCTCCGCCTTCTTCTTGGCCTTTGCTTCTCCCTTGGCTTTTGCCTTAGCCTCTGCGGCTGCGGGTTGATGGTCGCCTGCTCCCTTCCTGCCTTGTCCCTGTCCTTTCCCTTTCCCTTTGCAGCCCTTCGAGGTCGAGTGCAGATATGCACATGCATCCCCTTTCAGGCAGCCGCGCTCCAGATGGAAATAGCCACAAGGGATTTTGCTGGTGTCCTTTGGTCCTTTCTCGCCTTTAGCCCCCTTTCCGGAGCTCTTGGCCTGGAACGCAGTAGTCCCTTGTCCTTCGTCATCCAAAATTTCGTGGCCCTTTCGGTTGCGAGCCACTTCATCTTCTGCTTGCGTGCGTCTCCCTTCCTGAACAAGGGTAGTCAGCATCCTCTGCACTCCCACTTCCGAGGGAACGACCACTTCCGGGGTCAATCTGATCAAATTGAGCCGCATAGCCAGTGAGGAATGCTTCTTCTCCAAATTCCTTGTGAGGCCCTCCAACGAACGAATAGTCTCATGCGCTGCGATTGGCGGCAACTTCAAGTATTCGGATCTTCCCTTGACCAGCTCAAATCGCCGAATGGTGCCCAGAAGCTCTTTGAACGTACCAGCTGTCGGTAACGTGCGTTGAAACTGCAGCAAGGAAGACATCTCCGCCGTCCCGCCAGGCGAAAAACGTTCCATGACCGCCTCCAACAAAAGTAGCGTTGATACAAGATATTCTGAACCCTGATGTCTCTCCATCACTGTGTTGCAGGAAGATTCTTGATCAACATAACACCCAACCTCGTCTCGTACTCGCGCTCCTCCTCCTCTCCTCCACTGATGTGGCCTGCCGCTTTTGATATCTCTCCAAGGCCTGCTGCATCTGTGCTCTGAAGAACTGTCCAAACGACCCAGCAACCGCAGAGGCAATAGAACTTGTCTCATTTTCCCATTGTCGCAGGGCCAATCCAAGTTCCCAAGGCTCGCCTTGGGTCATCTTCAAGACCGGACAATCTTTCAACAGCTTCCAGTTTCCAGGATGAACTTTCTCCAGAGTAGGTTTTACAGTGGTGGCCGCGCCCAAGCCTGGGGTTCTAGCTGCCATCCAGGTTGTGGCCACTGTGTTGGCGCAGGCCACTCATCATTGTACCAGCCCAGGTCGTCGCCACCAGGTTGGTTTCCAACATCGGGTGACATCTGATGCCACTCGGTCCCTTTCCTCTGGGACTCCACAACCGAAGGTCCAGGTTCTGTAGGTTTCGGATGCTTCGGTCCTTCCGAGGCTGTCTCGGCAAGAGGTGGTGGACCTGATGTCATCAGGCGAAACCGCTCCTCCATAGCCAGCTCTCTCTCTCTACTCTTCTGCCGCAACTTCGTCGACACTGCCTCCAGCTCATCGAGCCGATGTAATGTCGTTCGTAGCCGCTTGTCATCATCTTTCATCCTTGCAGTAACGTTGGAGACGCTGTCTCCAAGCTGCTCCACCTGTGCCCGCAGCGACGCCAATTCTTCAGTGCTAGCAGGGGTATCCCGTTCAGCTTGAAGATGCTCGTTCTCGGCGCCCTTCGGATTTGTGCTTTGAGCACCGGCCTGGGGCTCAGATTGATCCCCTGAAGGCATAGTCACATGTTGCAATTCCCCTTGCAACTTGAGAACCATAGCTTCCAGGGCCTCGACGCGTCGATCAACACTTATATTTTCCTCCTCTGCAGCTGCTTCCAGGGTCTGCAAACTTCGCTGCACACCTTGGAAAGCCTGTCGGTCTTGGACCTGCGCTTCGGCGGTCTCTCTTGCACGCTGCTCCAGAACAACTGCACCATCGCGGATACCACTAGCCATCTGTGCCACAGCCTGTACCCCAGTCGCAAGACGCTCCGTACGCGACGAAACCTCAAACTCCAAAGTCTCAGTTGCTTGCATCAAGGCTTCCGAATCCTGAATACCACCAAGATTGATACTCGCAAGATGCTGCAGCCCAGCAAGGATGGGTTCCGGAATAGAAATCTGGGAAAGACTTCGAATCAAGATACGCGCATCGTGCTGCGGCTGCGGCTGCTGCTGCTGTTCTGTGGTTTGTGCTGTCTCAGGGAGTGCTTGGGTAGGGTTTGGGCTCATCACCTGATGCTGGTGAGAGGAAATCTCAGGAGAGTTAGAAACCAACGAAAAATGTGAAGGGTTAGGCGAGGCCTCCATGGTACGTAATCTAGATTGCCGTATGCTCCAAGGTACATCATCTAGATACGAGTATGACATGAGGGGACTCCAGGCTCATTTCAACCCCATACCAACTCCCAATCCACACACCATTTCCACTCCAATGCACTCATCTTGAGCCAACGTTGTTGGCATAGTCTTATGGTTAAGACGCAACCATCACGTGCGTGCGAAACATCCTTGCAGGGGCCATGCTAATCTTCTCAAGTACCAACAGTTGGGACATGACTCTGACGTTCAGGGATCTCGGGTTTTTGTTGCCTCTAACATGCAGTAGGGTTTGCAGAGTTCCTGATGCAGGTGAGCCATCAGGGCCTGCTCCGGGCGGAGGCCCCTGCGGAGTTGACCTTGGCGGCAGGTAGCTCCCTGGCAACGTTGGCGAATGGCCCGCGGGGCAGTTGGAAGCCACTTCGAAAACTGGGTGAGCAGGTGGTCAAAGCGGGTCATCGGGTGGTCCAGGTGGTCAAAGATCATATCACCCTACCCTTCCCGACTGACTGTCCGAGAGGACGCTTGGACTTGCACGGCAAGTATGTTCACTGGGGGGATGGCACAGTGGCCCGGTCGAAGAGGAATTTTCGATGTGTGGTCCGTGGCCACGGTGCAACCGTCAAGGTAATGTCTGGGTCAGAGCTGTGGTTCAAAGACGTGATCTTCGAGGGTGACATCAGCTTTTCTCGCTCTCGGGTGTCGAAGGCTTTAACGGATAGAGCTCTGGTGCACGCAGAACATATGTACATTAAGGACAGTCTGGCTTCTGTCAAGTTTGAAGAATGCCATGGGACTGGCCTGAGAACCAATCATTTGGAACAGTCAGATGGACATCTTAGCTTCTTGCATTGTGGCGGGGGGAGCTGGTCCGCGCTGGAATCTGCCGACCTGATCCAGACCGGAGGTGTCATGAAGTTCCAACAGTGTAGGTGCAGCTGTGATGGTGGAGGTGCACATGTGTCTAGCAGCATGAAGCAAACCGGAGGAAAGATGGAATTTGCTGAGTGCAGTGCATGGTCTGGTGGTGGCCTGTACAGCCACCATCTGTATAGCGAGAATGGGGTACTAGCATTCAGGAATTGCACGGCCGAGTACACGGGCGGCTGCCTGGCTGCCTTTGGCAGCCTGAGCTTGATGCGAACGCAGACCGAGACGTCTGGCAATGTGCTTTTCCAGAACTGCTCCAGCATGTTCGATGGTGGAGCGATCTCGGCGCAGGATATGCAGCAAGTGCAGATCCGCGGAGCAGTGCATTTCCACCGTTGCGCTGCTGGATCAACATGGGGAGGAGTAATATCTGCCATCCACAATGTAGACAAGCCGTTGAACAACCTTGAGGCCAGCCTGGGGGACTTGCCGTGTGTGCAAATGAGAATGATAGCAACACGAACAACAAAGACATGCACAATCACGCACATATGACAAGGAATAATCAAAGTAACAATGTAAAAGTCGTAATGGTGACGCTGCTGCTGCTGATGATGGTGATGATGATTGTGGTGGTACTCATATGGGATTTGTAACGCCATTGGCGCGCTTTTTGCCGTGTAGTCGAAGCGGGTGTGAGGAGATTTGCGTTGGCATTACCAGGAAGCCCCAATTCTGACTGAGTTTCTGCTTGTCCTCCAAAGTCTCAAGGTTTTGGGGTTGTTGGAAGGCTTGTTGGGAGTCTGTCCTGAAAGATGGTACCTTTGGGCACGGCCTATGCAGAGGGCTGAGTGTGTGTCATGGTTCCTTCCGAGTGCTGAGAGTGCAACCCTGAAGGAATTGAGGGAACGCATAGAATGTGCCCTTGGCAGCTTCTACGGACCCTCGGAGGCTTTCAACCGTTCACTTGGTTGCCAGCCCTGTGAAGCTGGAACTCTGCGTGTGAATGGGACGTCAGGCACCAACTGCGAGCCCTGTCCTGATCAGGCAGAAATATGCTTGCCAGGAAGGCTTCAGATGCGGCGTGGCTTCATGGTGCAGGATGTTCATGATCCAAGCCTCAGACATACTCGTACTTGTCCAAATCCTCAGGCATGTCGTGGCCAAGCTCCAGGACAGATGTGTCAAGATGGATATGCTTCAGCCGGCTGTGCGGAGTGTGCTGCGGGTTATGGCATGTCGGATGCCAGCGTCCTGCTCTGCGTGAAGTGCGCGGAGTCTCCTTGGGTCACAGCTCTCCAGGTGTGTTTCTGGCTGGGGAAGAACGTGCTGATCTTCGGGCTTGCTGCCAAGAGCGTGCTGGGTGCTTCCCAGGAGGCCAAGTCCAGCAGCATTTTCCTAAATCAGTTGCTGAGCTTTGCCACCGTGGCAGGCACCATAGTGTCAGCCATGTTGCAGACACCGGCCGGCGAAGACTTGCGCAATGGAGTCACCGGCGTACTGCTGCAGGCTGTGGGCATAGTCATGGACGTTGGCTCCGGCCAGTCGGCAAGCACAGTACAATCCACGCAATGTTTGCTTGAGTATTTTGGCCTGCAGCCGGGCCTCTGGAAAGGCCAGGTGGCTTTTGCAGCCATGGCAGCAACACTCACAACCGCCTTGGGGGTGGCCAAGGGCTGGCATGTGGCGATTCTTGTTGGTATCAATTGCTTTTTCCCTTCCTTTCTGGGTCACTTCGGACGTCAACTGGTGTGCTTCCGTCTCGGAGAGCGTGAGGACCTGTACTGCCCACATGCGCCAGGCATGGGCTTCGCCTGGGTCGTTGCCGCCATGACGCTCTCCACGGCTGTGATCTTGGCGGCCTGGTGGAGGCTCTACAACCACAGCGAGCACAGCAAGAGCGGCGAGAGCGGCGAGAGCGGCGAGAGCGGCGAGAGCGTGGAGCCGCTCCCGGTGCATGTGGTCTTCCTGACGGCACCCTATCACAAGGCCTTTGCGGCCTGGGAAACTGAGAGGCTGCTCAGGAAGAGCACCTTCACGCTGCTCGCCGCCGTGCTCCCCGTCACCGCCTCCCCGGCGCTGCAGATGTCATCCCTGGGCCTGGTGCTCTTGGCATCCCTGATTTTGTACATGTTCTTGTTGCCCTACGAGACCGAGAGGTGGGGAAGTTGTCTGCTGTGTTGGATAAAGGTGCAACACTGGAAGCATGAGATATGGAATTCAAACAGCTGCGATTGGTGAAGCTTTGTTCTGAGAGTTTTCTAGACCCGTGTGCGGTATTGCTGATTATGTGTTGTGCTCAGGTGGAATTACGTGGAGGTGGCGTTGCTCACGGTCTCTCTGATGATGACCTTTGCCGCAGTGGCTCTGCTGACCGGCGACCTCCATTGGGGGCACAGTTACCCGGTCCATGTGACAACCACTGTATTGGTGACCATCATGGCGGCTATTATTTGTGGTGTGCTGGCCTCCCTCACGTTCTACTACATGATGCTGGAACAAGTTGCTGACTCACAAAAGCCCCGCTTGGAGCACCGCAGTTCAAGGCGCCCTCCGCCACCGAGGAGGCCTAGCACTAGAGCTTCGTCCGGAATCCAACTGCCTTCCACTTCCATGCATCCCAGCCAAGCATTTCACACGCCGCGCGGTGTCTACCCAGACAGGCCTCCGGGGATCCACTCGGCGCAGGTAGGCCGTCTGCCAACCGCTGATCCCACAGCGCCACCCACACCGCCCGGAATAATACCTCCACTTGGCTATCCAGACAGGCCTCCGGGAATTCACCTGCCGGTGGCGCAGGCAGACCGGCTGCCAACTTCTGGTCCCGCACCAACACCGCCCGGAGTGCCGCCACTGGGTGTCTACCCACAAAGGCCGCCGGGGATTCACGCGACGCAGGCAGACCAACTGCCAACTCCTGATCCTGGAGGTTGACAAAGAAGAGCATTACATGGCGAGTATAGCAGCGTCTCCAGCAAAAAATTTAGGAACCGTGCTACTCGTTTCCCCTCTCATGTGCGGCCCGGCTGGCAAAGCCTTTTGAAGGCACTGGAGCCGGATGTGCTTCAGACTGCAGTTGGGAAGCTCAGCGGGAGGGAGCAGGGGTGTCCGCTTTGAGCCTTCCCTGGTATGGTTTAGGTTTCAGGGTCTAAACAATTTGTGGTGATGATGAGTATCAGCTCCAAGCATTTCGAATGTCTTACACAGTTTTGTGGAATTTTGAAGAGTTGACCCTGTCCTCCTGGCCACTTCCCATTTTTGAGTCCATGAAATGCTTTTTTTTCGAAGAGCCAGGAGTACTGCGGCGTGGGTTGCCAACTAAGTCTCCTTACCATCTAAGTCCACCATGACGTCACAGGATCCTGAAAGATGATATTGTGGGGCATATCTATCCAAGGATTTGTTTGAGTTAGTTTCGAACTCTTGTGATGTCCTCAAAATTATCATTCGTTCTTGTTGGTAGCACACCCTCATAAACGGCTGAAAGTAATATTTGAGAGACCTTCGTGGCGGATTCAGTAGTCGATTCATTAGATGGACTTGTGGATTATTTCCGTATTTGCTTTACTTAACGAAGGTCGCAAAATCACAGAAGACGAACAGCAGATGTCATAGCTTTGTGTATATGTGCATATAATACCTAGTTGGATGCATTTAGAGTTTTCTATTACTTTTGCCATCAATCATAATTCTTGAAAGCAATCGAACTCAGAGAAATAAAGCAGCGGCTACATCTAATTGGATCCTTGCTTGGGATTCCAGTTTCCTTTCAAGCTGCCGTGTAAACACAACATGCATTGAGGAAGTGGAGACCTAGCTCCTTGTGATTGTAGCTGCCCTAATTGCCTCGGAACCTCATTTCCTTATGCAGTATTGGTTGGCACCCAGCGAATTTGAAGGCAGTCTGCCTCTTTTGAATGTAGTCTTCCAGGTTTGTAGGCCCGCAGTCTTCTTGATTTCGTTTATTAATTGAGGAGGGTTATATCAAACCCTACGTACTTGCGCTTTCTGCAAGGTCCAAGGTGAATGAGACGAAGTCTGGGCCAGAGCCCCACAAGAGATCCTTAAATCTTGCGGTACAAGATTAGGGTTGAAAGAAAGGCTTGGTCTCAAAGGGGTTGGGAACTTGATTGAAGTGCAACCCCAGTGCCAGGTCTTCAGCCTGAACTCGGGCCGTGGGGACAATATGGGCCAATGTCTTCAAGAGCTCAGAACCCAGTAGCAGGGTAGACTCGACAGTGCTGCCTGACTTCGCGGTAGCCTATCATTTCGGAGAGAGGATGTGAGAAAAAGAGTCTTTTTGCGGCTGCTGTCCAGAGACTTACCTGCAGACCTGAAATAGGCTGACTTGGGGCTTGTTTAGGATCAATTGCTGTTTGCAGGGAAGTAATGGGCCTGTTCAGCAGTCCAAAACCCTGCCCACAGCCGTCCTTCTGAGCCCGAACCTTGCCAGCAAGGTCTGAGGTGATTGGGCACGAACCATGGGCCAAGGACTGAAGGGTACACTGAGGGATCCTGGGGGGGGAGTACAGTCCTCTTCGAGGATTATATAGCCGTCTTGACGACTTCCAATTTTGCAAGCTTGCTTGCTTTGGGTTGTCCTGAGCAGTCCGTTTCGATCAGATGGTTTCAACCTCAGACAATCAGGTCCTCCGCAAACAGACCACAAGGAGGGCCTAGTTCGCAGAATCCTTGGAAAGTATTTGGGGCTGGGAGATTGTCGTGAGCCCTCTAAGATCCCAGACTAATGCGGAAGACCTTGCGCCTGCACATTTTCAACACAGAGTATATTGGGGTTATATAGGGATAAGAGAAAAGAACATGTAAACTACTATAGTATAGGAATTAGTGTGTAGGGGTTTAGGGTTTAGGGTTGGGGCTATGTAGTGATGATGGAAAAGAAAATGGAAACTACCCTAAACCCTAAACCCTAAACCCTAAACTGAGTCATCCTCGAACCCTAAGCCCTAAACCCTAAAACCCGGAAGCCTTGCACAGACAGATGCCTTGAAGTGCTTTTTCGAAACGGTAGGGATACGACTATTGCAGGGGTTGTTTTTTGCCCTGAAGCCTCTGGTTTATATCCATAGAAATACTGGGATCGTCGCCACATTGACTGGCACAAATATAGCTACGAGGACATTGTCACGTCAAGAGGAAGGCTTTTTGTCAGGGCTCTTCGTGTTGCCAGACCCTGTTGTAAGCTTGCAGGACGCAGCCGGCTTCAACGGTCCAAGTTCGAGCCGCCACTGACTGCCAAGGGCTGACGAAGAAATCATACATCGCAACCTTCATTTGCATATTCGTCCTGTCGCTCCTGTGAAGTTCACAGGTGCGACAGGACGAAATGATGGATGTTTTGATTGACATCATGGTGACTGGCTTCTATGCATACGCAGCTTCCCCTCCTTTTCGAATTGTTCGGCGTTGGTTTTCAGACTTGGTATGCGTGTTCTGCCTTGGCCCTCGGTCACAAGCTGTGCGCGGCTGGTCGCCTCGTTTCACCTGGGAAAGTCGCCCACATACAACCTCGCGTCTCGCAACAGATGCAGAAGAGCATGTTTCAAAAAGAGGTTCTAGTTGCTTTGGTTTTCTTTGGCTTACACCTGCCAAGACTTGAAGCAATGGAGCTGCACGTTGAAAACTTGGATTCCTGTCCCGCAGGCTCAAGTGGATACCAATGGATCCCACTGAGTCCTACTTAGTTTAACGTAGCTGGTCCTGCTGTGCGCAGGACTGCCTGGGGAGGGTTAGACATTCCATGCTGGAAGCACGTGGGTCTTCTGCGTCCGCAATGGGTTCAGGGTTCTCCCTCATGCACCTGCAACTACAGGATTCATAGCATTGTAGATCAGTCTGAGTATGATGGTCGCGCCGACAGGTATTGTTGCTGCTACTGAGGTTTCAGAGAGCAGGGTAGTTCAAGAAACGACTTTATGGTATATTGGTGTTATATAGGAATGATGGGAAAGAAAATGGAAACTACTCTTGTATAGGAATTAGTGTTTAGGGGTTTAGGGTTTAGGGTTGGGGCTATGTAGTGATGACGGGAAAGAAAATGGAAGCTACTATAATAATCGCGCTTCTGCAGGACCTGAGTTGGGCAAATGAGGTTGCTCCAACTGCTGCAGGCCGCATCATGATAGGGATCCTGAAATTCTCCCTGGGCTTATACCCTAAACCCTAAACCCTAATCCCTAAACCCCTAATCCCTAAACCCTAAACCCTAAACCCTAAACGCTAGACCCTAAACCCTAAACCAGTAAGGGCTGGCGAAAGGAGCCATCAACCTTCCAGGCTTGGAGCTTCGTAGGTTATGAGGCTGGGTGACGAGGCCTGAGGACGGCCTTTCTAGGGTTTAGGGGTTTAGGGTTCTAGGGGTTTAGAGGTTTAGGGTTTAGGGGTTTTAGGGGTTTTAGGGGTTTTAGGGGTTTTAGACGTTTAGGGGTTTAGAGGTTTAGGGTTTCGGGCACTTTCTTCACTTCAAAAACCTTGAAAAAGTTGTGGCTTTACCCTGGTGAGGCCGGTGCCTTGCCACTGCCCATGCAAGGAACTGTGTCCATAACCTCATTGTAGTAGTTTCCATTCTCTTTTCCATTCTCCCAATAGTACCCCAACCTAAACCCTAAACCCTAAACCCTATACTATAGTGGTTTCCATTTTCTTTTCCATTATCCCAAGTAAGCCTTGAAAAGGGTGGATCATCCTCGAAGCCGGGGACGGTGGAGTTTCGGGCCCTGCGCCGGGTCAGGCCTTTGGCCTTGGGGTTTAGGGCTTAGGGTTTAGGGGTTTAGGGTTTAAGGTTCCCTTACTACCCTCCTCTATACTACCCCCCCCCTAGGTCCCCCTTAATTAAGGGTATGAAGGGATAATTAAGCTGAGTGAAGTTTAGTTAAGGGGGAACCTAGGGGAGGGGAGTATAAAGGGGGGTAGTGGAACCCATGATTTAGGGGTTCTCAGGGTTAGTGGGAATTGCTGATCCGTTTATACGGACTGCTGTAGAGGGAGGGGGTATAGAGCAACTACTAGTATGTGAGGTTTTCAGGTTTAGGGTTATAGGTTCCCTAAACCCTAAACCCTAAACAGGTTTAGGGTTTAAGGTTTAGGGTAGGCTACTTGAAGGTTTATACAAGTCAGTATCTGCTCATGGTTAGTCCTATAACCCTACTTCTGTTTCCCCTCCTAAACCGGACTTTTGTAGGTTCACTGATAGTTAGTAGGATTAGATGCCTACTTATACGTATTTACTAAGTTCCATAAACCTGCATGGTGTCGGAAATTATTTGGGGTTGTAGGGACGATTAAAGGGGGCATATAGGGACCGCCAATATGCACGGGGTTGGAGGGCTTAGGCTTTAGAATTTATGGCTTAGGGGTTCAGGTACTACTATATGGAGGTTATGCAGGGATTACGACTATGCAAAGATTGGAGGAACGGAAAAGAAAATGGAAGCTACTTGAGGGCTTAAGATTTAGAGTGGTTCGTAGGGGATGATGTAAGAGGTAGGGACGTATTGTGAGGGGTGTTATCAGGATTACTCTGGAATCCATTCCTCTGCGTTCTACAAACCAACAGTAAGGTTTGGCCTTGGAGTTCTGGGCTTTGGTTTTTCGACTCGCAAGGGCCGACAGCTCAGGATTTTGGACTTCGGGGTGTGTGGCTATGCCTGCTAAGCCTTTAGGATTTGGGGCCTCGGGTTGATCTTAGGGCTGCGATGGGGAGCAGAAAGGGCTTTGGTGTTGAGGGTTTAGACACTTTCAGGGCTAGGGCCTTTGTACTCGGAATTGGGGCAGTTGCATAGGTCGTTCTTACAAGGTTGTTACAAAGTCCCCTGGCCCTTCAAGTAGTGTTCATAAAATCCAGGCCTAAATGCTAAGCGGATCCAAAAGGAAATCCCAATCCACCTATGGCCCACAAATAGGAGACTTGGGGTACAGGGCTTCCTGGGCAACCCCGTAGGTCCATATCTGTAAAACTCCAAACCAAACCCTAGACCCAAACCCTCAAAAATCATCCATATACCCTAAACCCCTTCAGCCTAATCTCTATACCCTCAACCCTAAACCCCTCAATTTTGGGAGCACCTGAAGGATCTGACAGAGCATTGGCGCCTGTTGGCATCGCACTTCGGGCAGGCTCGGGTCTTGGACTGAAGTGAGGCTGCTGTTAAGGGTTTAGGAGTTTGGGATGTAGAGTTGTGGGGCTTAGGGTTCAGGAAGCTGAGTTCCCGTAAGAAGAATATGTTGTTCAGTAAAAGGTCAGTAAAAGCTATAGTTTCCTTATACTGGTAGGTTGCTGTAAGTTCCTGAATTGCAAGCCAGTATGAGTTTGGGCGGTGGGGTTAAGGGCTCAGAATCTAGTGGTGTAGTGTGCCCTAAACCCTAAACCTGTTTGCCCTAAACCCAAAAGAGCTTCAGTTTGACGGCTTTAGATAAGAAAACAAATTGAAATTTAGACTGCTTGTTATTAAACCCTCCCCCCTCCCCTTAATGGGGATTGTAATAGGGACCCTAATATTGAGGCCCTTAAAAGGAGGGGGGTTATTAATCAGGGGTTTACATTAGCATCCTACAAATTCAAGGTCTTTTGGATCTAAGGTGGGGTTTAGTAGCGAGCTGGATTGACATTAAGTTGCAATTCAGGGCTGAGGATCTACGTGGGTGGTTGTCAAAATTCTGGTCCCTTTTGGGGTACCCTAAATATTTTGTGCCGTATTATTTTAGGGATCCAAAAAAGGGACCATAATTTTGACAACCACCCACGTGCTCAGATTCACGCTGACAAGGGTCTAGTCAATTTTTGTTTTGTGGCTTGGCCTTGTTGCCAAGAAAATGAGACCTGTGCTTGGATTCGATCTTGATGCACGGCAGGACATAGCACCAAGACTGAAACAGAGGACGGTTAAGGAAGCACCGGGTCTAGGCCCCAAACCCTAGCACCTGAAGAGTAGGGAGCTAGCTTTTAGAAACCGCCAGGTTCAGGTGCAACCTGACAAGAGACTGTTGGAGACTGTCCGGCTTACAAGGCCCCTTGTTAGATTCGATGGGGGCTGAAGAGTTGAAACGCGGTGTCTTCCACAAATGTTGCGCCAGTCAGTAGCTTGTGCTGCTCTGTGGATGGGAGCAGGTAATTCCGGTTTCTGAGATGGGGCGCCGAAACTTCAACTACGAATCCTGAAACCAGAACAGTTCCTAACTCAAACATCGCTCCAGGAAACCCAGTCATGCGGCGGACAGTGGCAATTCTGCACCATTTAAAGGACGCAAAATGTTGCAACGTCTGGGCTAGAGCGTCTATACGGTGATGCAAGACTTCCTCCATCCACATTAGTAGCAAGAATACTGGTCATTGTGTGGAATTTTGCTTCTTGGTGGAACCATGTATGATACTAGTCTACAGACTGAACTTTGAGGACTGAAGCAAGAACGACAATGCCAAGGCGAACACGTTCACCTGGACAGCCAGAACTGGAAAGAAAATCCTAATGAAAGACCCTGTTTCAGTACACGGCTTAGGGCTGAGGCTCAGGGTTTAGAGCACTGTAAGTCAGGCGGATGACCCTGTCTGAACCATGACGAAGGACCGTTTCAGCCTTTGCTCTGTCATGGGGTGATAGGGCCTATAGTCTAAACTCCAAGCATCCCCCTCAGAAAGCCCTAGGGTTGAGGGTCTAAATTCCTAGTATCCCCTTTAATCACGCCTATAATACTCCCCTATATTATACCCTATATTGCCCACTTTCAGCATTTAAGACAATAGCTCATAGGGTGTAGGGTGCTATGGCTTGCAACGTGGCGTAGGGCCTGTTTTGGAAACTTTGCGAGGCTTCTGATGAGGACCTGCCTGGGAGATCCAGAGATGATGTAGGCATATGAGCTGTAGTCTAAACTCCTGAAAGGCAGGCTATATACGGTAGTGGACTATATAGTGGGGCTTATTGAGGGGGATACTAGGAGTTTTAGAGTATAGCTCATACTATGGATCCCTTCCAATCTCAATTCTGATCTTGAATTTGCTTCCTGCTTGGGGGCTATGTGTCCGAGAGTCCACGTTTAAGTGGCAGAATTGAGGTTGGTGTTTTCATGCCTGGTCGGGCCGGGAATCGCAGGCTCTCTACATAAGACCCCCAGAGCAGTTTCCATTGAATTGTCCATGGTGTTTTCCATTAGTTTCTCACCTATCCCAAAACCCTAAACCTCGAATAGTAGTTTCCATATTCTTTTCCCATATCCCTATAAAGATCTCTATGTATCCTCCAGGTAAAGAGCATGGTAAGGCTGACAAACAAAGTCTTGTTCCATCTTGCAGCACTTTTGCTGTTGAAACAAAGGCATCCCAAGGGCGTAATGGGGCTTAGGGTTTAGGGATTACATAATATAGGCTTTATATAGGGAACATAGGGTAGACATAGGGTTTATATAGGGATAATGGAAGAGGAAACTACTATTGAAAGTTTAGGGATAATGGAGAAGAAAGCCTGCAGCAAAAGGGATAATGAGCATTCAAATGTAAAATAACATGGAAAGTGACAGGAAAACTGGGGTCATATACGGCAGTGGTGCAAGATGTCCTCCAGCTGCCGTATGATGTTGTTTCTTGCATCAAGAGTCCAAACACATCCTTATTCAAGTTTTCTTTTGGCTGCTTCACAGGCATCTGACCTTTGAAGGAAGACTTCAAACACATGGCGTTGTTCGCGTTTTCCATTTAAGAAGGAAATCAGGCGGCACCCTACGGTAGAACTCACGGAAAGAATGCCCATACAGCGGGTGGAGGAGAAAATCTTGCATCCCTCTACATTGCTGGCTATCTCCTCACCCGAATTTTAAACACCCCTTGCCACTCTGTGATACTGAAAATATCCTTAAACATATTAAGGTCTTTTATAGGGAACCTTGAAGCTTAGGAGGTGGGAGAGGAGGGGGGGGTGTTAATGCTAGGAAGGGATGACAATCCTTATAGAAGCCCTTGTAAAAATGCCAGTTTCACTTGGATTCTCCACATGCTTCTCCGCTCTTTGAGTAGTAATCCCCTTCGGCACAGATAATGAAGCTTTTCTAGAGGCTCGCCAGGTCTTGCAGCTGCTGAGCCGACTCAGCAGCAATGGAACATGAAGTGGGAACTGGGATCTCATGGCGGGGCTCTACGGGGATGGTCGGTCACTGTTTTTCCTCAGCATATGCACAATTGCTGCGGTGGTGCCCAGTTAATGTGATTGCCCTTTTTCTTGTTGACGTACTAGTTGTTCTTGGTGCTTCAGCACTCTTGGTGTGCTCATGAAGACACCTTTGAGGAGGTTGCAGTCCAGAGTGCTCAACGAGCTATTGTAGAAGCTTGACTACATGCGTAAAGATGTTTCTCCGTGTGTGTATATGTACACGGTTTTAATGCAATTACAGAACGCTTCGCTGGTATGCTTGAAACTCCTGCTTGAAAGCGTAGTTGTCTGCTTGCGAGAGACAGCTTTATTCCAAAGTTTCAGAGATTGCGCACAGATTTTGCCATTGGCGTCCAGGGTTTTTCAGCAATTCTGGTTCTTCCGGCTACTTCGCGACGTTTTGGCTCAACCTATGCAGCCTCAACGTCTGAAGATTGAGACCCCGCGGACAGCATGATGGCCCCACCAAACAAGGTCAGCCAAGCAACGCCCTGCCTGCTGAACTGTGCCAACCTCGAAAATCCGAAGCCTGAAGCCTTGAACCTCTGAGCTTTCAACATGGCAACACAGCGTAGACTTTTTCAACCTGACATCCACATTCCTCAGCCCCTTGTCCCTAATGAAGGCCCAAAACCGAAAGCTCAGAACCTTCCCCAAGCCTCGGCCCCACATTCACACAGTACTTGCTTGCTACGAAGCATGGCGCACTCTGACTGCATATGCTTCCCCATCCAGAGGTTCCTTGAGCCCTTCGTGTCCCAGCGGCATGAAATCTAGGCACATTGTGGGTTTGTGGGCACCTCGACATGGAGGGCTTAGGTGGTAGGGTTTGGGGTTTAGGGTTTGCAGGCATAGTGTTCTGAAACATGGAATTTGGGCTTTGGACCTTGTAGGGAATAGAATTATTGAAAATGGAAGCTTGTTGTACAGTTGGGAACCATGGAGATTACTACAGAGAGCCATTTCTCATTCCCTACTGGTTGCAGCTTCAGATTCGGGTTTGCCAACGGCCCTACATGGCTTGTTTTGCCTTCCTCCCAATTAATGGAAACCCAGAATGTGCATCTCCATGGTTAGGTCTCCTGCTCTAAGGGCCCCATTATGAAGGATCACACGCGGTATTTCCCGGTATCGTGGAAACAGCCCGAACAGGCGTCCTATCAAAGACGATAGTCTTCATGGTCTCTCTTTCCTTGTTTGGGGGAGCGTAGGCATTAGGGCTCAGGTGTAGGGCTGTCCAGGTTCCTGGCGTCCATGCCACGATCTCCTATGCATCGGAGGACTGACATGTTAGAGCAACGGCAAATGGCAAGTGTGGGAGTGCCCTGCGCTAATCCTTCAGCCCTAAACCACCCTTAAACTGTTAGCGCGTGCACTGCAGAAGCATGAACAGTTGGGTACATAATCCTCTTGAAATCCTTGTGGTCTTCCCTAAACCCTGACCCCAACAACCAAAAACCAAAAACTCTGAACCCTAAGACCCTGAACCCTGAAATTCTAAGGCCCTAAACCCTAAAACCCTAATTCCTCAAACCCTTGTATCTTTCAAAATCCTGGTCTGAGAATAGATACAGGTCACCACATTGTTTTTATGAGTTTCCCTATTAACCCTTAGGGTTCAGGGTTTAGGGCTTCTTTACATTACCCAGCCCAAGGTTCCGCCCTGAATTTAAAAGCATCTAGGATCTACGTGCTTAGGGATACTAATTGTCAGTCGATGGGACTCCTGGGTGATAGAATGCAGCAGGAGGGGTCAGGGAACGCATGACAAAAGCTGTAAAACAAGTCTTAAGTGGAGGGATGGAGCTGCCCCCTAATTAGGTGAATTCCCCGAATATGGAATGGCATGATACGGGGAACATGTACCTTTAGGGTGGTGGGCAGGTATTATCCAGAAGCAGAGAGGGGCTATTCCTTGCAGCTTTGGTTCAAGAATGCAAGATTGCATCACGCGCAACACACAACTGATGCCATGGGTTATGCTCGTGTGATCCATTAGGCCCAAGTGGTCCAAGACCAAACTTGAAAACTGGAGGTTCTCAAAGCGCCCCAAGGAACCCTAGGAACATGTAAGGAGCTTCAGAGGGTGAAAGGTGTACTTTGAGAAGCTCTCAACATCGTAATTGCAGGATGGGCAGTACAAAGATGACGGCAAGCGGCTGCCTGGCTGAGTCCTCCTACAAAATCCTGAGTCTGCATGCTGCATGCCGATCTTGTCAGTAGGGCATTTAGAAATTGAGATATAGAGATAGGTGTGGGTTGCCTGGATCCCAGAAACTAAACGTGTTTTGAACTACTCGGGTGTATGTAGGACAACGTAATGTGACTTCACTTCCTTAGAGCAAGGGACCCCGCGTCCTTCCCGCAAGGAAATGTTTCGTGGTCAACGGCCGCTACCGCTGCCACAATTTAGAGACGCACGGATTTGCCCTCATGCGACTGCCCCTGCAGCGAACACAAGGCCGTAATGAGAAATTCTTGGAGTGGTGGGTCCTTGTTGGGGTTCAGGGTTTAGGTGTACTGTAGGGTTCGGGGTGGAGGGTTTAGGGTCCAGGTTTGGGAGGAAATTTTGGGTAACCAACACACCAAGATCCATTGTTGAGAGGTACTGACATGCTATCACTTGCGGCCTAATGCGAAAACTATTGCCCAGTGGAGTCCGTAGAGTTTTGAGTCTTCTCATGGCAGCTCCATTGTTTGTATTTTTACAAGTATGGCTTTCTGTAAGCTTCACGCTGATACATGATAAAGATGATGATAATGATGAAGTTGTACGTAGCGTTACGTCTTGAGAGCCCTATCGCCTGACCTGCGATTTTAGCTAACGGTCATACAAATATTTGGCAGCCCCAGCTCCCCGACTGAATCGTCAAAATACGAGCATGTTCTAGGCTAAACCCCTGAAAAAAAAAGCCTGATATTGAGGGTTGACGTTCTAAAGTGCATGGCTTGAGGCTTTCGAGTTGATTGGGCTTTCCGGGAGCTGAATTGCAAGCAGGGTCAAGGCAGGGTCATAGAAGAACATGGAGACCTATATAACCAGTGCTTGCTTCATATCAGACCTACCTTCTGCAATACCTATACCTGTGCATAGAGTCCATTCCTTCATTCCGTACGTGCTTGCCATTCATTTGCCATGCAAAGGTTCAACAAAGCCTCAACCGTCTTTTATACCGCATTGTTGGGCCGCTTTTCTTGGGATAGCTCCTCGCTAGCTCCACAGTCAAAATTTGCGCTTTAGTGCACAATTCGCGTTTCAGTCCCCACCACCAAATCCGCAAACCTCAGGGATACTATCTTTCAATTCCCATACACTGCCACCATTAATTACTAGGTGGGGGCCTAACAAAACCTGAACCTTACATCGTGCATTCGCAACCTCGCAGGTCATGACTTGTTCAACTACCTGGTAGCCAGCAAGGCCTACACACACGATGTAGGAGGTTCCAGGGCTTGGGAATTCTTAAGGCGCACACAATGACTGCGTTTGATCTCCAAATAGCAGGAATGTGAGCAATAATTCTGCCCTCAAACTCACTGTTAAAAGCAGGTCTTGGCACAAGGGACCATAGTCTGATGTGGCCCGAAAAAGTCTTGCCACTTGCAGTTCCAAAGAGTTTGTGCTAGCTTCTGACTTATAGCCCTAAACCCTAGGTACTAATTTCCATCTTCTTTTCCAAAAACCTATATACCCCTATATACCCTGTATAACCCCTTGGGCAGCTTCCGCCGCATCAGCTGCCATCTCTGTCTAAGGTCGAAGTGATAGTTTCAGCAGGCAGTTTTGCTCGTACGAGCTACTGTCAACGCTAGCCTTATTGATCTTATTGAGGGACCCTTAACAGTGGACGTGGGTGTTCCTTTTGCAGTTTGGTATAGCCCCATATGTCACGGTTTAGGGTTTAGCCTTTTCCGTGGCCCCTTTTTGGAAGCTGCATGGACTTCAAGACAGGTAACATGATTGTAGCATGTCTGTTCTGCCACAAAGCGAAGGCGCAGCCCTCCCTCTATGGATCAAGATTCGAAAAGAAAAGCTTTGTAGTGCAATCCGGATGCCTTGTAGCCTCTAAACCTGAAACCTTATGTAACAAGTGTTCGGTCACGAGCCCACAGCGTGTTCCCGTCTCTTGTTTACACCTGTACCTTACGGAGGAAGAAACTACAGGGGCCTAAATAATTACCAGTATGGTGGTCCCAGATTACTCGTACATAGTTCGGAACAGGGTTTGGGGTTTAGGGCTACCTCCAGTAGACTTCGAAATGATATTGCTAATTTTCTTAAGCAGCTACATCATTGATGCCGGAAGCCTGGAAAGGTCCTCTACCCTTTAGCGGAAGACGTCCTGCGACGAGCCTTTCCATCTTCCACGAAGGTGCGAATCGGAGATTGTTGGGTTGGTAAGTCAGAATCGCAGGGGCTTGGTATTTGGGTTTGGGATTGGCAAATCAAACATAATCCTAGCAGGATATAGCTATGCTGTCTTTAAGCCCGTTGAAATGCTGTTTTAGCCGCTTCTGCGATGCAGTCCTAAATGGCAAATTGCTTTGTGTTTTTCGATCCTATATGTATGTGGGACAAGCTTAGGGTCATTCTTTTACACATGAAAAACATTAGAAAATATTGTTCAATGGCAGTTTCCCTAATAGGGTTTAGGGTTTAGGAGGTTCAGGGTTATATAGGAAAAATAGAAATCAAATGGAAAATGAAATGGAAGCTACTCTATATAGAAGTAGATAGTTTCCCTGAGTATCGCCCCAATATAGACCCTAAAACACTGGGGATCCCCAAAAAGCTAACCCCCACTTTGGGAAACCTCCATTTCCGTGAGTTGCACGTGCATCATTAACTTACCCAACTAGATTAGATTATTCAACTGGATTAACTTACCCAACTAAACCCTTCCCTGAACCCTCAGCCTACAATTAAGAGGGGGCTTCCAATGCAGGACCCAAACGATTCTGAGCTGGGTTCTTAGCTATGAATTTCCCAAAATGCTTCTGGAGTCCTTTTCAAGCACTGAAATATGGTAGTTTCCCAAAAATAGGGGACCCCAATATAGACCCCCATAATATGGGGACCCCCAAAATGGTACCCCTAATTTCGGGAAACCCCCATATGGGCCTGCTGTTGCCCTACCTCGACACACCTTGAGTCTGGAGACCCTAAACCCTAAACCCCTAAACCCTAAAGCCCTAAGCCCTAAACCATCAACCTGTCAGATCTTGGTCTTCGATCACATTGCACGCAATGACGCCCGCTACAAAAACGAGGCAGCTGCCGGTGAAGTGACGTAACTTGGTCATGAGAAGGAGGTATAGTCCCCTTTAAGTAGATAGAATATAGGGTATATGGAGATCTGATTTACAATTAAACCCAAAGCCATATTCTATCTACTTAAGCGGGACTATAGGCTTATAGAATCTGGGGACATACCAGAGAGACCCCAATCTTGAAAACACATACGGAGGCTCAAACATAGAACCTTTCGAACGCTGCTTTTGTGGAGCTCCATCGTTCCTTCTTGGGTAGTTTGCAAGGGTTTGCTTACTTGGCTCTCCTTCAGAGGTACTGCCCTCATGGCTTGAACTGGACCAGGTCAGTGCATCGCAAATCATAGATTCATCCACCAACAGTTCAGCCCACATTTATCCCAAACATATGCTGTCCCTGAATTACCAAAGTAGGTAACCAGACCTTAAACTCTAAACCCTGAACCCAAAACCCTACAGACAGGAATCCCAATTCTGCTGGAGCAAGTGGGCTCTAAGATGCAGACTCGGGGTCGGAATACTGAACATTCCCCACCCCCACCCCCTAAGCTGGCTTGCTGCCAGGAACATGAATTAAGTCACCAGAAGAAGGAGACCGTATATTCACTACATACTCATATTATTGTAACTGAAGTCCCTAAACCCTTAACCCTATATACCCACATTATGGAAGCTTAAATCCCTAAGTCCTATACCCTACATGTCCACATTTTGGAAACTGAAATCCCTAAACCCTCCACATATGGTAACTTGTTTTAAGTTCCCCAACAGCCACCCAGCAAAGACCTACAGTGTGCGCAACAAGACCATGCCGTTTGGACAGGGCCACTCCCTCAAACCACATAGGGTATATATTGGGGTTATATAGGGATTATATAGGGATAATGGAAAAGAAGATGGAGACAACTATTTAGGATTTAGGGGGTTTAGGGGTCTAAGGCTCTAGGGATTTAGGGGTTCAGGGGTTTAGGGGGTTTAGGGTGTTTAGGGTTTAGGGTCCGGCAACCGCAAGGTTATCACCTCCGCTGGACCTCGAAGCATTTAGACCCCAAACCCCAAGTGTGAGCTCCAAAATCCCAAAAACCTCAAACTTGGGTACTGCCCCCACCCAGTAACAGTCTATATTAGGGGTCCTATTAAGGGCTATATATAACCACATTATACTTATTATCCAACTGTTACTGAGGGGGCTGTACCCAACCTCACACCCTGTGTACCCGCCATCCTATACATCCTTATAATTTCCCTACATACTTAACCTCTAAATCCTGAACCCTATAGACCCCAAACCCCTAAACCCCTAACCCCTAACCCCTAAACCCTAAAACTCTAATATCAAACCCTAAACCCTACAAACCCCAAACCCCTATATCCCCTTCACGTAAGCGCCCAGGAAGATGCTGGCTTCGTCCTATGCCTTCGCTGCGCATGGCGACTACACTGTGCGGTCAGGTAGCCGTTTCGGGGGTTTAGCGTGTGGGTTTGGGTACTGCAGTCACCAAGTAGCAGTCTATAGTAAGCGAAATACGAAAGGCGATCTATAAGTATATTCAGCTTCTTATCCAGCTGTTACTGAGTTGGGGCAGTACCCAAAGTTTGGGGTTTATGGTATTGGGATATGGGTATTCCATAGGGATATGTTAAGATTATGGAGAGATTCTTTAAGGGAAATGTAGGCAGTATATGAAATCAATATAAGGTTTAGGAATGGTAATACCCAAATAGTGTGAAACCGAAACTAAGTTTGCTGTTCGAGGGATTTGAGGGGTTTGGGAGTTGAGGGTGTAGGTGTCGAGGGTTTAGGGTCTACGTTTGGAGTGCCTGCACATTGATGTCATACCCTATATAATGCCGTAGATATAGTCCTACAGAACCGCTTTCTAAACGCTATACTAACCCGTACACACTCTCCCCGATCACTGCTTTGGTGGGATTTTTACATCTGGCCCTTTAAATGAACAAAGGTCTGTGTTGGTAAGCTCCCTCCTGGGCAATTTAAAACGACCTCACCCGACCTCACCCTAAATGGTGGTTTATATAGGGTATTCCGAATTATCCTGTCCCGCATTGGATTGGAGAGTTTCACGACACTAGGCCCCCAAATCATATTTGATACAGTCACAAGACTGCTGTTTCAATCCCATACGTCCTTGCCTAGACGGCCCAATACATTGGCATTAAGGAACATATCTTGCATAGCATCCAGATCCCCAATATGGTTTAAGGGGTATCCCTTAATTGGGCTACCTGGGCCCCCCTTGTGCCCTAAGACTTATAGCTTCATTTTATCCCTAGAGGTATTGGGTGCCTGAGTACTTTAAGAAGCCTTCCTATTTCAAAGGGCTTCAGCCCTGCCAGATCCTAAACCGGAAACCCCTGAAGCTTGGGGTTTTTTAGGGTTTAGGGTACTCCTAAACCCTTAACCCTTTCAGCCAGGCTTCAGCCGAGCCAGATCACTGCTAGAGCCTCATGAGGACGAGGGCCGCATTGAGGCCATTCTTCAGGGTTCAGGCTTTTGGAGCTGAGGTTTCTGGGCTACATGAGCCATAATCAAACTCCTCAAAGGGGGTTATATAGGGGATGCAAGTAGAGCGTAGCATGCACCGGAAGCTCAGAGCTCCAAGCTAACCAAGAAAAGCTTATGATCCCTTGTTTCCTACCAACCACCAGTAAGTTTGGGGTTTGGCATTACAGACACCACCCCTGGTCCCATAGAAACCCTAAGCCCCCCAACCCCTAAAACCCTAAGCCCTAGACCCTTAGCCTAAAACCCGAAGTCCTTAACCCCCAAACCCTTCAAAACAAGCCAAGCTGCCCTGAAGGCTGCCATTCAGCAGCGATTCGCCTTCGTGAACGTGTGGCTTCCACTGAAGAAGGCAGTGCTTCAGAGCTTGTAGAGTTTTAGAGGCTTCAAAAAGGGGATTCTAGAGATAGTATAGGAGTATATACGGATTATATAGGGGATGATATAGGGCTATAAGGATGATATAGGGTCTTTATAAAGGCTATATATATATATATCTACCGGGATTATCTTCGTGGGCTTGGATGAAGATGAACCTTAATTTCGTGGAATGTTGGCCGGCAGCGCCATGGAAGTTTTTTTTTCAACAGGGGCCGTTTGATGCCGGGAATGGGCACCTTTTGCCACGGTGGATCCAGAATTCTTCTGTCCTTGAGACCCAATCCTGAGACCCAAATCCTTAGACCCAAATCCCCACTGCCTAGAACCCAAAGCTCAATCCCTCAGCACCAAACCCTTAACTCCAATCCCTAAGCCCTAAACCCTTATCACTAAACCCCAACCCAGTCGAGGTGGAGCGAGATCCTCTGGGCCTCATAGAATGGAGCAGCCAAAGACCTCAAGATGTCGTATCCATAAAGCTCCGTGGAGGAAGTTACAGGAAGGGGGTTTAAGGTTCAGGGTGTCTGGGTTAAGGTTTAGGATTCAGGGTTTAGGGTTTAGGCGCATAGAGGGAGTGGAGGGGGCAATGTCGATGTTACAAAAAGGCACTATATAGAAATTATTGTAAGGATCTTTTCTGCATTCGCCCACCCCCTTTACACCAGTAAGGGAAGGGACTTTAGGGGTTAGGAGCGTTGGAGGAGAATCTGTTGGGTTTAGGAATTTGTGTGGGTGGGGCTTTGGCTTTCCAGAAAGCTTGGAGTAGTTGAGGTGTACAAGCTTAGGTGCTTCAACTTTTTGTGCATCTGGGCCTTGGAGGAGTTAAGGGTTAGGGCTAGGGAATTGGTTATTTGAAGATTTGCAGTTTTGATTTAAGGGGTTTAGGGTCTTGCTTCGAAAAGCACGTGACACAAGCCTTGAAAAGGACCGCACACGTTCATGCATACGTAATGCGTTCCACGGGCCCTCCAAGTATGACGTTTTGGGTTTCAAGCTTCCGTAGCAGGAACTTGCGGGTCCTGGCTTAATCACAAAAAGGTGCGTTGAATGATTTCGAAAGCATACTAACTGCAGGGCATTGTACTAGGATTAAAGATGAATGTTGGTAACATGATAGTGGCAAGATGTTTTGTGAAGGTCGTATAGATTTGCGTGTACGGAGAGTTCACAGCCCCTGACAACCCCATTTTGAGATGGAAGACGTTACTGGCCCCTGGTGGGCAAATCATATATGGAAGTTTCTTAACATTAGGGGTACCATGTTTGCGGTTCCCCATGATAAGGACTATAATGTATTGGGGTTTATACTAGGGCCCCCTTTATTTGGAAACTACCATATGGAACATCCCACACCCAAAGTTTTGCTTCACGGTAGGATAAAGCATTTCCACCTCTAATGTAGAATGCTCCCTTTCAAAGGTGTTAAAGTACAACCGTGGGAGGGTTGGTGTGGGGGTTGCCCTAAAGCCTAAACCCTAAACCCTAAATTTGCTGTATGATAGGGGGAAGGGACTAGTTACCTGTAGTACGCAAGGCTCCCTCCAACAAGTCCAAGAAGCAAATCAAATCGAAACAGCAATCCGAAATCCTCAAATCACGTGCTCCACATGGGAGGTTTCCCTAAATTAGGGCTACCGTTTGCGGGGTCCTTATAAGAGGGATTATAGCTTTTTGGGGTATATATTGGGGTCCCCGTATTTAGGGGAACTACCACATTAATGGCTAGTATCAGGATGCCCGCAAAAGGGCCGACAGCTTTGGTACATGTATGCACATGTCACGTTGCATGTTTATCTCAGGTTCATCTACCCGCATCGTACCGGGGAGATTTATCGAGTGCTGCCATCCGATCAGCACAGGCGGGTCTTTGCTTGCAGAACTTGCCTACTGTTTTTACTGCGGGTTAGCAGGGAATAAGGGTACATTTTGTAGAAGGACTGTGTTCGGAGTATATCCCTTATTCCTTGCTAAGAACCAGTAAGGTTAGCAGAAAATAGGTAAATTTGTTAATGCATTGAGATTCGGAGCATTCCTTCGAAGAGTACTGCATTTGACGCAGATCAGTACTGGGCGGAAATGCCACATGTCAAGAAGCAAGGAATGCTTGTGCGGGTTGTATGAAGATGCTTCTGAAGGCAAAGGGCGACACAAGGAAGGTAATAGTCTGGCATAGCTGTGCCGAAGGTGGTGATAGTTCTGAGGATTACTATCCCCTACCCCCACCAAGATTGTATCCCAGGCGAATAGCACCAATACACCACTAGCCCCAAGAAGCCTTTATGCCTCAGATGGGTCTACTACCCGGACATGACTCCGGGCGAATGTCTGATTTTCAAAGTCTTCGATTCTGCCACAGACGGGCGGTCTCGATTCTCCTTGCATGCCGCCTTTCAGGCCAGTCCGACTTGTGTTGTTTAGGGGTACCCATTGGGGTCAGAAAAGGGTTATATTGGGGTTATATGAGGATAATGGAAAAGAAAATGGAAACTACTATAATGGGGTAGGTTCGGATTGGTTATGACTGCTTAGGGCTTAAATAGGTTTAAGATATCTCGGCTATCAGTACTGCCGCTGTCACTTTTTTGCACTACTAGTAGCCTTGCGACTATTCTATGACTCAATTAGCGTTTCTTCTTGTTAGTATTATTTCTTTTACAAATACTCTTGCTACTAGTCTACTGAAATCTACTACTGTGTCTTTTGGCCAGTAGTATTCTTCTTAGCCATTACGATTATTATTGCCATTAAGATATACAGGTGATGCTGGAATGTCTAGACTTGCTGATTCTTAGCAAGGGATAATGGAATATCATCCCTATATGATCCCTGTAAAATATCTTCTCCCTACTAACCCTAACCCTAAACCTCATATATTCCCCTTATTTCCCATTAACCCTAACCCCTAAATCCCTAAACCCTATATATTCCCTGATTTCCTACTAACCTTCAAGTAAGTAGGGGTCCAGGGTTTGTAGCCTCCGGGCTGTCGTCGTCCGTTGTGGGAGCGGAGCTCGGGGGGGAGTGGGCCCCTTTATCATGCTGCTATATGAGTTCTTGGCTTAACTCCCTAACTCTTGAAAGGGGACTATTCAGGGGAGTATTATAGGGATTATAAAGGCGGATACCAGGAGTTTAGACTATAGCTCATATAGGGTCTAGGGTTTAGGAGTCCCCTACAACCTTCCTATGTTCCCATTCCCATCCTCCCTCAAGCACATAAATTAGATGAAGACGTCGCACGCGGGTTTCCCCGCATCTGAAGTTTCCAAACCTCCTTGACCTTTGTACAGGATTTGAGTCTCATTGAAAGCTGGCACGCTGGATTGATAAGAAGTACGTTTAGGGTTTAGAGTTTCAGGGCAAGCGAACGGTTTCTATAAAGCTTCTCCTGGTATGGGCTTGTTTCCTTTGATCCAACCTCTAAAAACCTGCTCTCGGTCCATGGCATGGTTGATAAATGAAATCTCGTCTTAGCTAGAACCCCTAAACCTATTTCATTCCTAGGCACTTCCTCAAAGATATAGTCCCCTCTAAGTAGATAGAATATGGTTTTGGGTATATTATAATAAGATCCCCTAACCCCATAGTCTATCTACTTAAGGGGGACTATATGTCCTTGCAGGATCCGAATTGCGACCCGGATGCGCCAAGTCGCGAAAGCATCGAAATGCGCTGTGTTGTGTTCTTCGGCCACTGGCCTCGCAATAGCGGTCGTCTTCCCAAGTCTTGAAGTGTCAGTTTCCCGGTATCTCTAGGGCACGTCAAACTTTGATCATTTGAAGTGAGGATATGTCAGCATCTCTGAAGGTTTCGGTTTAGAGTGTAGGGTTTAGGATTCTAGGGACTAGTCCTCCACGATTTGGGGGCTGCGAGGTTGGATTTTGCAGGGGTATGCAGCGACCCTGAACACCCCACCCTGCCCACACCCAGCTATTATCAACTCATAGTCTGAATCTCAAGCCAAAACCCCAAGCACGGCTGCACCCATTGGGGTAATATTAGGGTTATATTAGGGGTATATTGAGAGAATGGAAAATAATCTGGAAACTAGTATTTTGGGTTTAGGGAACCCTGAACCGGGCTTCCTTGTGGCGACCATTCAAGAACCTCAAGAGCACCCAAGAAGAAGCAAGGTGATCTGCCAAAGGACTTTGCAGCCTCTTTCGTTGCGCCGCACTTCGGATCAGCAAAAAAGATGGCGGCTACCCCAAAAAAAGGGCTACCTTTTTCAGGGATCCCTATAATATGGATTACAGTATTTTGGGGTCCATAAAATTGGGGCCGCCCCCTATTTAGGGAAACTGCCAGATTGTGATTCACGGTTAGGGTGTGGGGTGACAGGGCCGAGCGCTTTAGGGATTGGAGGCGCTCAGTTTAAGCTGTGAAGGCACCCGTCGCATGACTGGCGCACTCAGTTGTGGTCTAAGGCCGAAGGCTGAGGTTGCCTCCAGCCAGCGTTCTCTTATTGATACTACAAACTCCGCATGGTATTCTACTGCGACACAGTTCGCAAGGTATTACGTACTCAGGGTCAGACAGGGTTGTCATATAAAGTTGTTGATACAAGGAATGCTACATGACCCTGAGTACCTTCTAGCTTGGCAGTTCTGGTACACTGTTATACTAATATCATGCAGGATGTTCAGCATTAACCCCTTAAACCCTAAACCCTAAACCCGTAGTAGGCTCAGCAAACAAGGAGTAGCCGTGCTACTCGGTCTCTAGCCTGGAACCTGGAGTCTTCGTTACTTGAGCTATAATCTTAAATCCTAATGTTATATAGGGGTTAGGGTTTAGGGTCTAAACTCCTTAAAGGGGGTTATATAGCAGATTATGTAAAGGAGAATTCTGGGGCTTATTAAGGGGAATACTAGGAGTTTCGCCTATATCTCAGCTGGTGCTTAGTAAAGTATGGATCTAAGGTTAGAAGTATGGGCCCCTAAAATGGGGACTGAGGCTTTTTAAGGGGGATTCTAGGGATCCTTGAGGGTTACCTCTAGGGGATGTAGTAGGTATGCAAGGATCCCATCGTTAAGGGCCCATGGTTTCAACCTTAGAAGTCCCTTGAGCAGCGCCCCTGTTCCCCTTCTTTGGTTCTGACGTTTACCGCCCCAAAAACCTAAGCCCTAAATACGCTGATAAATTGTTTTTCCCTTCGTCTAAATACGCCTACATAAGCTACATATCCTCTTGCGGTTCTCATCAACAACAATCAAAACACCCAAGGCCGTCTGAGCCACGGCTGAACACTATTTTCAGGGGTCCTGGGTACTTCCCAAAGCATGTCATTGGCCTAGATGTTTAAGTAGTCTTCCCAAAGCTCTAAGGGTGTCCCAGCAAAAGTCTTAAACCCCAAGCCCCACATCAAGAAGCTGGAACCTTTGCCTAGGGCTTTGTAGACGGCTATCCTCCTGAAAGGGCTCCTTTTCAGGCCCCGGTGTGTGGGGAGGATGGCACCCCAAGCCCTAAACTCTTTGAATAAACCAGCCAGGATCAAAAGCCTGGAACTCCCAGATCCTTGGTCTTACAGCGGTTTAGGATTTAGTCTTGCAGTCTCGCAGCCCTTCAAAACGCAGCCCTTCAATTCATGAGTTCCATCGTCTGCCATCCCCCCCGCCAACTTTGCACCAAAAAACATTCCCAAATCCCTTGGGTAGTTCTACAGTACGTCCACCAAAGGGGTCTAGACCTCAGATCTCAACACACATGCGGAATCTCGGCGTTTCCAGGCACCTGCTCCCAGGCACAGACTGCTGCAGCCGGACTTGCACTGAGCCAGGGTTTAGGGTGCAGGGCTTCGAGTCTGAGGGAGCTTTGGGCTTTCAGGGCGTATTGTGGTGGGCTTTGGGGCCTCGAATGAACTTGCAGGGGGCTGGAGATAGAAGATGCTCGCCAGGAAAGTCTAAGGGGTTTCTTGATGGTTGGCATGTTGACGAAGGGCTTTTGGATTTTGGGTGTATCGGTTTAGATTTGAAAGGTTAAGGATGCTTAAGGTGTTTAGTCTCATCTATCACTTCTTTATGCTGCATCAGCACGTTGCGACGAGCGTCTGAGAATGTGGCTAAAGATCCCTCTGGTCTTCCTGTCGGTCCAATGTATGTATGCTGAGTCATGTGTGCCGTGGTATTTGCCAACTTTTCATTGTTCTGGCACGGACCTCAGGGAGCCCATAGTATCATTGCTGCTTTGTCACTGTCACTTTTAGCACTACCATTATGACTACTTTTGCCATTTTTGCGATCAGTATTACTAGCTTCACAAGGTTTAGGCTGCGAGCGTTTTGGCTTCAAACGTTGAAAAAAGTTGAGGGAGTTCAGACTCTGCCTGCAGAGGGTTGAAATAGGGCACCCTAAATCCTAAACCGCGCTACAATACCGCCTCCCCACTGAGGTCTGAAGACTTCCCTAAGATTGTCCCCGGCTTCTGAATGTGGAGCACGCCTGTGATATTTGTTGGCGGCCCCCACGGTTTTGGTTACCTTCAACCCGAAGCTGGAGGTATTGATTGCAGCTCTTTGAAAGGGGTGGGGAAATAGCTTATGGCGGACGTTTGCGGATGACACAGGGACTACTACAGGCCCCCATTCCGCTACCCCACAAAACACCATGTGCATCCGGGACTAAAGTCATAGCATATTCCTTCAGCTCCCCCCAAACCCCCTATACATCACCTCAGGTCCCCGCCAACCTAACTTTAGTCGTCTTGTACGTTTGTGTCATCCTGTAGACAGGCTAATCTTTCATATCTGAAATCAGCGGTTTACGCACAGGTCTTATACCCCAAACCCTAAGTCCGACACCATTAAACCAGGTATGAGTCCTGAGCGTATTCCAGTTTCCGGTCCGAGCAATGAGTGGTGAAGGCTCTCAGGGATTCCAGGGTTGCAAGAGCTTGTGGCCAAAACTACATTAAACGACAATAGTCTCCTAAAATCAGGGGACCCCAATATAGAGCCCCAAAAACTATAATCCTTATTTTGGGGACACCCAAAATGACACCCTTTAATTCTAGGAAACCCCAAGCCAAACCTTTAACAACCTTCCAAGCTGCTGTGCAACATGAACGGGTCTTAAAACTGTTCAACTTATCTATGGTTTAGGGCTTGGGTTTAGGGTGCTGGTGGAATTTTGCCCGGTCTTACTGTGCAGTTTTCAATTTCCAGCCGGACTGTTTGTAAGGATTGCTGAACCAGTACTGCAACCGTATAACCCGATAGATTATATTGTCGTCTTATATTATGAAGTACTAGACTATATTATATTGTATTATATTATTTTCAATGTAATATGTGCAAAAATATCCCAATATGACGGTTGTGAGCCTTGCTCTTGCAGTAGGACTCCCTTCCTGTGGCATAGAAATCACTGCCTGTCCGGTGTGGGATGTCAAGTTGGACTTTGCTTTCTCTGGGTTGCTGT